TAACCTGGATGTCTAACCTTCATCGACATAGGCAATTGCCTTGTGTGAATTTTCACTGCATTACTTGAGTTTCTCACAAACTGTTGGACAAATATGTATGGGGCATGAATGGTCAGGACGTGTAGGACTTTGCCCTCGATGCTGCCTGTATTCCGCACACATCCCGGGCTTTAGTTCCAGCACTATCAGACCAAGCCATGCAGATTGGCACGTAGTCCTGGCTCTTCAACTATTGAAGGCCAGAATGCCTGTGCGGCTCAGGAGACCCATTTCGGCTCTACGTTGGGATTTGGAATGGGCCTCCTGCAAGTTGGTCCAATCAGGCCGGGATAAAGATGAATAAAGCATTCCTGGCAGGAGAGCGAAGTTCGTGTCAAGGTCTCCAAAATGGCAGACTTGTGGAATGTTCGGGAGTGATATTTTATACAAAGTCGCACTGACATTAACTGCTGAGATGGGTGAAGAAGCTTCCGTTGCATTCATTCTCCGAGATTGCTTCCTTACACTTAAGATAGAGTACTGTCTTGCATGTGATTTGCTGGAAAGGTTACTTGTCCATATGGCCTATAAAAAGGCATTGACACTCAAAAGTAGCACACGTTATTACAGGGCTGTATTTTTGAGATGCATAAACTTTTATGGTGGTTAGTCTTAAAGTCTTAAAGTAACATTAAAAATATGTTACTTGGTTGTATCTTAAACATGCCCTGTCTTAATACTGTTCCACACAAAAATGATATAGTGGATAAGGTAGAATGGTGGTCTTTTGGTTAGGGGTGTTGACTCAAAATCTGAAGGTTCTGGGTTCAAATCCCTGACAGGCCCCAGTGTTGTACCCTTGGAAAAGGAATTGTTTCTCAAGCAATAGGTTATGGAACCTATCCAGTTGCTTGAGTAACAATTCCTTGTGTGTCATAGGTTATACATTCTTAAAACCCTGTCCCAATAAGTCCTTTCATTCCCTTTTTGTCCATCTAGGTACGCCAAGAATGACCCCAACATCAGAGATCAGCCATTTGGCATCCCGGTAAGACCAGTGATTATTCTTCCATCTTGTTATTGTGCTGTAGTCCTGCCTTAAGCTGTGATCACAAACATTGTAGGTCGTCGTACAATTTTGATGCCGTAGAATTTTTAAGCAGGTTGTGACAAAGCCAACCGCTGACAAGGATCGAAGACAGCCCTTTCCACAAAAAGACGGCTGAGTTTTGCAAAAAGCATGCACCACGACTATCCCAAGAATGCTCTTAGTTTTTCGATCATATGATGATCGCACAATGTATGTGACTGGGCACTTACTTTAGCTTGGTCATGTCCATTTTCAACAGTACATCTGCATGATCCTGAGACAAAAAATGTCCTAAGTTAATATAAGATGATGATATTAATCTTTACACCTTTTTATGCTGCTGGCAATTTAATATTTGATGATGATGATGATTGGTTTATTAAAGAAGAAGCACAATCTGACATGGCAGTCAACAGACTGAATTACGCCAGACTTTACAGTAGTTTTAAAATCAGTTAAATTGATAAAATCACAGCTAAAAGACACAGATAAAATCATTTCTACGTAAGGGCTGGCTCACAAGCTTTCAAGCAAGTTTATTATATATCATTGGCAATAAATACAAAAAACCCCAAAAGGTGCTTCAACTAGTGTATGGTAATTCGATGCTTTCAAAATGTTGCTCCCAAGTTTTGATAAGCTGGCTATTAGTATTGAGCTGTGTGTGTGGAAATATATGGCGGCTGCCGCTGGCATGCACATGAACTTCAATGGGATCAGGGATGGTACGGAGGGTCACGCACCATCGCAGCTGGACATCCATCCGGCTAGGAATTCTCTTTGATAGCCGGACTTCAAAGGTTTCTCTGTGCATTGACTTACACCCTCCCCCGGAGCCCTGCAGACTTGGTGACATCTCATAGCTCTTACAACATTTCCGGAATACTAAGAGAGGCATAAAAAGCTGGTTGCCAGGCTGTGATACAGAATATTACAGATCCATGCAGAGACAACAGAAGTAAAAGCTTCAGCAAAGAAATGCTAGTTTTTATGGCAGCAGTCATATGATATTAGTTGAGACTTTCTGAGTCTGAGCATTAAAAAGTGTGGATATAAGTAAAAAGTACTGGTCTTCTAAAGCACTGATGTACATATGAAGGGAAATATGCAGGGTAAAGAATGTATACTTCAAAATTGGTGTCCACTCTCATCCTACTCCAAGGCAAAGCAAAAGATCTTTTTTGAACAGGATTTTCTTAAAAATCAAGACTATCAATCGTGAATGAAACATTCTATTGGAAGAAGCAAAATTACAGGTTTTTTTTTCTTCGTCAAAGAAAGACAACAAGGCAAAGATTTGGTCATCTTTCTTTGTCTCACCTTGTGTTTTCTTATTGGATGCTGCTACATGTATTGTCTAGTGTATTTGCAACCTTCACCCTTACTGTACACATACTGACTGATGTCCTATGGTTACTTCATAATGGGTAACATGTGAAGTAGCATTTAAATTGAACTTAAGTATGTCCTGTAGTACCTTGTTTGGTATGTATGATAATTATTGTTCATAAAGCAATGTAGTAAATCATATATTATCAAACAATTACTTGTTGATGTTAAAGATTGCAAAGGTAATTAGTGAGGTATAATTCTTGGCATTTTATTGAATAATGATATAGCTGTGACTATGACTGTGGTTATGTATGATATATATGGTTCTTTGCTAATACTTTTAATGCGTTTCCATCCGTTCAGTTATTTTCCTGACAAACTTGTGTTAGTCAAAACCACTGCTGTGTGGATTAATATGACAGGATTGCCCTCTCTGAACCTTTGTAGAAGTGATAAGAAATCACTGACAATTTATTGTTGGTCGTGATCTAACAATTTTTGGTACTGCCAGGAGCAAGTTGCATGCCTTTAATGTATTACAACAAGAACCTACAGAGATACTTTGAAAGGTAAAGTCAGCAAGGAAAGGAAGAAAATAGACATTCATTTGTAGACAAGCGATTGATTGTGACCCCAAAAAAGTTCGGCTCACCGAAGAGCAATGCTTTCAGTGGTCATGACATAAGAGATATGAGCTTTGTGCAGTATATACATATATAGGTTCATTCCAGAAAATTCCTCAAGCTGTCTTTGACAAGTACAATGAGCAGAGGACCACGACTTAAAAGTGGACTGCTACCATTACCAGCAGCATGTAGTTTCCAAGCAGAGGTTGTTAGAGAAGACTGTGACCTTTCTATCATATGCCCCATTTTCTGTTGCTACTTCCCACCAAGGTTGGTTGAAGAGTAGAAGCATGCATTTTGGATTAGTGACAACTACCAGGATTCAAACTCCCGATGTCCTGTTCTAGAGGCAGTAGCCTTCTGGTGTGATCTGAAAAGGCACTATATTGACGTTCCTCTCACGGTAATTAAAAGATTAAACATAGTTAGATTTACAACAAGCCTGCATGTTAGTACACCAGACCTTCATCAAGGAAAAAAAGTGGTAGAGTGCACTTTTGCAGCTGTGATACACGACCCAACAGTTTAGTCTTTGCGTTCCGCATTACCTATTCCCACCACAGTCCACGTATTGATCAGAAAATCTTCCTAGATTTCTCCCTTCTCGCATAGATTGATCAGGTATTTCTCCTGACACTCAGGCTCTAAATCACGAGCGTCATTATCCTGTGTTTTTGCCGGCGGTGGTGGCAGCAGCATACTAAGGTGGCCATAAAATGGACAGTCAGGAGGTATTAATCAGGTACCTAGCCAAAGCAGGTGGGACCTTGGGCCTAGGTAAAAAATGTTGTGTTTCCTGACCGACCCTTGAAAAAAAAAAAGACCCTAACCTTTTTTGGGTGGACCCCTGCAAGGGACATGAATTTTTCGAGCTAATCGACCATTTCTAGCTTCATGATCTGACACCTTAGTGATGAAACATTGCACAATTGGTTTTCCAACATTGACAGTTGCAGTTCCTATATCATTTAGCTCCATAGAACCTAGAACATAGCTATAGACTGCAATTGAAAGACAGGCAGTTGTAGTTTTCTTAAAACTCCTTTTAGGGTGCTTTATCTGATGGAATGTGCCAGTAACGTGTACTTTTCCTTGTAATACCTGTATCATTGTGTAGCATGGCTCCAAAGAAACTTAAACACCACTATATATAGACTGCAGTTGACAAATCTCCTCCTACAATCTTGAACATGAAATAAATTGCAGACAGAAAGCCAGACGGCTTCCCCATTTCCAGCCTGTGCCGTGAATAGTTCCTCTCGGAGTCGGAATGAGGGTAATAAGCCATGCGGAACCCGGAGATAAGAGCAGTTCAATGGGTCTTCCTGTGTTGCAGGCAGAGCATAAACGTCTAAACTCGGCCTGTGCTAAGGCAAGATTAGCACGTACAACCCTTTATGGTTCCTGTGAGACTGCATGGAACATAACTTTTAAAACTGTTAGTGGAAAAGCTACCAACATCAAGAAAGTTAGAGAAGAGTTCATTTTATTGATATTTTTAGTGTTTTGCAGACAAGGGGTAGTGTCATACAGTTGGAAATTTGGGTGATTCCAGTTCTTTGTACTTGAAATTGTAGTTCAAAGATCCTTCATAATTCTTGTTCTACCAACACAGAGGAACACTCAAGTTCAGATTTATTTTCAAGACAGGTTGCAAAAAACTCAGTAGTTGAATTTATGCATAAAATTCTTTCTCTTATATGGTTACCTATTAGTATTACATATATGTACACTGTACTCTTGGCCCATGGAACCATGTACTACACTGTACATTTTGTAGATCTCAGAAGCACAATAGATGTGTGATTTTTTTTCTGCCTAACTCACTGATGTGATGCACATGGCGCATATGGATGTCTCGTACAAAATGCATCAAAAGCTCTTGAAAGTTCTTTTACGGCCACTCTTTTGTGATCACCCCGTGGCATAATAAGAATGAAATACCAATTTGGAAATGTAGAACACGTCCTTCGGCAATGCTCACTCAGTCACTGCGATTATCTTGCAGTAAGTTTACTGTGGTTATAAAGTTCCCAGACAACATAAAAAACCAAAGTTATGTTCTGTTCTTACAAGCCCTTCAGCTATTTGTGCCAGCGCAAAGCTTTACAGTCAGGCTGTGATATTGTCTCAGGATAAGGTGTTTAATTCACGAGGCAATTGTGTGGAGAATGATTGTATTTCCAATCTATGGGTAAATCAGCAGTGGGCTTGGTGTTGCAGGGTGCATGCAAAGTGCATAGTCACTAAAACAGGAAAATAAAGAATATTTTACAAACACAAACTGCAGTCAAGGTGATACAGACTGCAGCAACACTTGTCATGTAAAAATGTTATAGTTCTACCTAGCTACTTCTAACAACGATACATTGGTAGAATGTACTTTTGAAATAGATAAAAATTTGTATCATCGTAATACTGTACAATAAAAATGCAACTGTTACTTGTATTGGTTATGCAACTGTTACTTGTATTGGTTGAATGTTTAGATTGAAGACAATCATACATGTTGGAAGCAAGTTCAAATATCATGTTTCTACCAGATTTCAGGGTTTTGTCTTATAATTATTTTTGTACCACTTAATCCTTTTGATAGCCAGGGTTTACCTGTAGTTGCATACTTTTCCAGAAGTTTCCATTTTGCATTGAGGACTGAAGCCCTTTCCACTCCCCACCCCCAACAATTGTAATCTCCAAACAGCTGAAAGGTAGACTGGGAACCATCCATTTTTGTACGGGTAGTGAGTGTAAGGAGCCCTGTTACAAAACGGATGGCACCCTGCAGGCTAGTGGAATGGGGTTGGGCTGTTTCTGTCCTTGCCCTTCTCACGTTACTAGTATCTTCCCAGTCAGTCTGTAATAGGTTCATAAATTCTGCTTGGAATCTACAGAAATCTAACTCAGTATACAGAAATCCTTCTACGTAAACCAGCGTGAGCCTTCGTGCAACAGATGAATCTGCAAATGAAATGGTTTCTCAGACGTTCATGTAAAGAGTTTCCTTACTTGATACATCTACACAATCCCTTTGATATATCTCTGGAGAGTAGTGAAACTCGCCGAGTACCTCGGAAGTTTATAGCCACCAAATAAAAACTGTTATCTGAACCTCCTATCAGGAGTCCCCATGATTTTCCTTAGCAAGATAAAAGAAAAAGGATAACAGGATGTCCATTTCTTGGGCTGAAATTTACAAGTTGCTTGGGGGATTCTGTCCTACGTTATTGACTTCCACTCTTGTGGGAATGAAAAGAGCCCAGAAGATGAATGAGAATTTCTTGATCTGGAATCTAATGTATTGTAATGATTCGACTGACTGCACCTGTTACATGACTCCAGGGGTTCCACTAAGTTGTAAAGCTGTTAGGAGGTATTAAGCAGCGGTCGTGTTAGACAATAATAAGGTGTTTTGTGGGCAGTAAAAAAAGAGAGATTTAAGACCGAAGGTAGCACGCTATCAGGCTGCTGAGATTCAGTTCTCTGGATGGTGGTGCCTTCTGACAAGTTTCAAGATTTTGAGTACTAAGAAAAGTTAGAGTTGTGTTACTTCCTTGTTTGCACTTTTGAACATCTAGATAATTGTAATCTGTAGTTCAAAATAATGTTGGGACGAAGGTAATGATTGATCTGTCATTAGTTATTTTCCTTAGGACAATGATTTGGAAACACAGTCACCAACTTTCAGGATATAGTGCAATATAGTAAACAATCTTGAGGTTTTGAGTGTACTTTTATAAAGCATCATGAAACTTCACTAAAACAACAAAGTGTATATTATTCTATTATTATTATTATTATAAGTATATTTCTATGTCAGTGTTTTTGGTGTGTGTGTCAAGGGGGCGAAGTCTGCCATCTCTAATCACCTTGATCTCCATTTTCTATACAGGTGAGGAATGTACGGTGCATCAAGTGTCACAAATGGGGGCATGTCAACACAGACAGGGAGGTATGATATCAATATCACATCTTACTCACTCTTTTTCTTCGTCCTTTAGATGAACGTTTAACCATTGTTAAAATGTCTATAGACTTTAACATAAACAAAATATATGACTTACACTTGTATGCAATTGACTTGAGTAACGATTCCCACAAAATGCTGTCTCTCCCAATTCATACATTAGTTTTTGTAATACACTGCAGGGCTCGAATTGCATTATTTTAAGGTGCATCTGAAAAAATACTTGCACAATTTTTTTTCCAAGTAGAATGTTATCACAGATTGGATATTTCCAGTGGTTGCAATAGTCTGTAAAGCTACTTGCACTGATGCAAATGCAGTCCAAAATTACGTGCACGTAACCTTCTAATTTCATTTGAACAAATTGGTGAATTTAAGGAGTACTAATTTGAGCGCTGCACTGGAAGAAAAAAAGGGCTGGCAACATTCATATCTCAAAGTTGCTGATATATCTGTATAGCTGGTATAACCACCCTTCGGCATAACACACCAGCTTTTGGATATAACATAATGTATACACTTGTCTGCAGTGTCTCATATGTCCAACAAAGAATATCCTTCTGGCCAAATTGTTGCATGCTTTCAAAGCAGTACTGCACCTAATATATGTATGAGCGATGGTTTGAACAACTATAACAGCTAGCACAGCTATATCTTCATGTTACTGTAGGCTATCTTTGCAGCTGTTGAAAAAAGTACATTAAAAAAAGCAAGGTTTGATATTCAGCACCAGTCAGTGTTTTTGCTCTAGTGGTAGAAACCCATCCCAGCAAATGTACAGAAGATACACGTTGGAAAGATAAACAATCCACATCACTAACAAAAAACATAGCTGCAAATGTGTTAATAGATGTCAGACAACATACAGTTTCAGCAATTATGTCTGTATAATACCAAAAGGAATGGAAGGGTTTCAAATGTCTGTACATGTAACGCTAGCCTGAGTGTCAGCCTTTTTAGCTTTTGTCCGCTCCCTAAGATCCGCTACCGGCCAGCTAAAAAGGCTGACACTCAGGCTAATGTAACGTTGTATGCAATAGTACTAAGAAGTACGCTAACTACCGTGTTTCCCTTCTAGTGCCCGTTGTTCAACATGTCTGGACTGGCACACTCCAAGTCAGACGACCCAGACCAACGTAAGTTCTCATTAACTTAATCCTGTGCATCTGCAGCCTTGTGTGAATCAAAAATAGCAGATGTGGCTTAAATTTGTACATATTCTAGGAAAGGGACTAAAACTAGTGAAATATGTAGATGCATCATGTTAGAGAAAGGGCAGAGAAGGGAAGCAATCTCAATCCAGTTTTAGGTCACTAAAGAGCTAATCTCCCACTGGTTGTGACAGAGAAGACCAACTATATTATGGTATTTACTAATACAGGTTCATTGTACTGGGGAAATTCCCCTAGCTCTTTCCAACAAGCACAATGAACAGTGGACTGCGACCCTTTCCAGTAGTGTGCCTGTCGGATGAGCGACAACAGCCGGAATTCGAACTCCCATCCTCAAGAGACAGGGACGCCAACTACTGGACTATGCATGCTACTAGAGAACTACATTCCCTATTTAAAGATTCCATGTATATGGACTAAAGTTATTGATATCAATGTCAAGACAAAATATCCTATGTACTGGTCTGATCTTGTTCTTTTGTTCTTAGCGACCGTGTCGACCTCTGACCTGTTAGTTGGGATGCGCAGCGAGGGTCTGATGCTGAAGGACTCTGTCTGGGGCAGGAAGAACGACCCCAAGGCTGCCAATCAGGTTAGACTTTCAATCTCCAATTCTGCACTGTGTGACCTTTAGGTCATAGTGCACCTTTATTCTCTGTAATGAGAAAATGCCAGAGAAGTGCTAGGATGTACAGCCAGAATTTTTTCAGTGTAGGGGTCAAGTTCAGAATGATAACTTTCTGCAGCTCAAGTTGTGCATCAAGTCCCATAACATGACTACAGTCGGGGGTCTGGTATTCTCCCCAAAAGAGAGAGAGAAATTTTGTAAGGTTATGTTTTCATTCTGTTATGGCTTTATTCCAGAGTCAACTTTTCATTTTTTTCTCTAAGATTAATGAAGGGTCACAAGGTTCTTCAAAAAAAGAAACACACAATAAATTGTGTACAATAATGGAGATCTGTCAAATAAACAAAACAAAATAACGATTAAGGTTGTTGTGTTGCATGCCCGTAGCCAGGGGGGGTTTTATGTAAAGGTCCACTTTTTGGTCCACATTTTCTGTAAAGGTCCACTTTTTGGTCCACATTTTATGTTAAGGTCTAAGATTTTTCTTGAAAAGATGGACTGGAATCGTAGAAAAACTGCTCTCTTTGTCATTGAATAAAAATTTATCTCTGATTTTCTCTTGAAAATCCTCTCAAAAATGCACGAAATGCCATTTTAGAAGGTTCATTTTTCAAAATTTTCAGGGGGAGCATGCCCCCGGACCCCCCTAGGAACCTCGCGCCTTCGGCGCTCGCCTCGCGCCTACGGCACTCGAGGTCCACTCAAGCAGTGGGAAGAACCCCCCCATTCAAAATCCTGGCTACGGGCGTTGTAATGTAACATCTTACTTCCATCCTTCCCTTCAGCAAATGGTAGTCAGTGATGAGGAGGAGGATCCTGAGGTGGAGTTTCTCAAGTCTCTCACCACCAAGCAGAAGAAGAAGCTACTCAAGTAAGTCCATCTTGTATATATGGCTAGCAATCTTGATGTTTTTTAAATTTTATTTTTGTTTTCAAAAAACCTACCAACTCACTCACTCACTCACTCACTCACTCACTCACTCAAAAAGAATCAAACAAACAAACATCACTGCTTTACAAATATGCAATATCAATACGTTAACCAGTCATACATATACAGTAGTATATCTTACACTGATTCTGTCAGTATTGTTTCCATGTACATTGTAAGTAGCCAGACCTCTGTTTCTGTATTTGGTACATTTCCACATTGTTACTATGGCTCTTCTGCAACATCAAGACCTTTATCAATCACAGTTTCAAATGTCATGTCATGATTAGTAATACAAGACTGTAAGCTTGACTTTTATCTGAAGAGTATGAAGTAACCTTCTGCACAAGGAAACAAGTAGCAGCTTGACATTTGTGTAACTGTTACTGTACTGTCAGGATTTGCTATATATAGCTGGTATAGCTTTTCCCTGGAAAGATGTAGTACATGTATAACCTCTTTGCACAGTCGGCACACTTCTCTTAGAATATCATGAAGTCCAAGGCAAAAATGTTTGCAACCATACATGTTTCGAATGTTGTGCTGAACGCTGTTACAGTTACTGTTTTGTCCATGTCCTATCAAAAGAGATGAAATAGAAGAAGTATCAAAGACTTGCTAGTAAATAGCTCAAGAGTCAGCAGTTCACGTTTGGGTTTCGTTAACAGGAAACTAGACAAGCTTGAGAAAAAAGAGAAACGCCAGAAAGCGGGGAAGAAGCAGAAGAAAAAGGACAAGAAAAAACACAAGAGACGTAAGGACTCCTCATCTTCAGACACCAGCTCTGAGTCAGACAGCGAGGAGGAACAAAAGAGAAAGAAACACAAGAAGACAAAGAGGAAGCACAAGAAGAGAAAGGAAGATAGCTCGAGCAGTGACAGTAGTAGTAGTGGGAGCAGTTCAGATAGTGACTCGGAGGAGGATAGTGCAAAGAAACATAGGCATAAGCGGAAGAAGTCACGGGATGACTCCCAGGTCAAAAAGAGGAGGGTAGACAATCTTGAAAGGGAGGGTTTGGCCGGAAGGCCAGTAAAAATTGAGAAACATGATGATGACAGCTATGCAAGGAGTAGATACAGCGAGAGTAAAGGCAACCCAGATAGTAGCAGAAAGTGGGACTCGTATGAGAAAGGTAATGAAGACAGAAATGACCATGGGGATAAACACAATGCAGACAGAGCTTACTATGGCAGACAGGGCAGCGATGTGTATGACAGGGATGGAGATGACAAACACAGCTATGGCAGGAGGGATAGGGAGGATAGAAAAGACGGTAAGGGAAGGTATGAGAGGGAAACCAAAGACAGGCGTGACAAGTATGAAAGGGATGGGGTTGACCACCGACAGAACAGCAAGGGAGGGCACGGCATTAGAGATGAACAGCACAGAGACAGCAGGGATAGGGATGACAGAAAAGACAGTAAGGGAAGGCATGAGAGGGAAGACAGAGATAAATATGACAGGCGTGAAAAGGGAAGTAGGGATGGACAGCACAGTAAGGACAGAGACAGCAGGGGTGGAAGGGACAGCAAGGAAAGACAAGACAGTAGTAACAGAGGTGACTATCACAGAAGGGAGAGGAATGACAACTGGGGGTCCAGTGACAAGGACAGATTATATGATAGTCATGACAACCACAAGGATAGGTCAAATGACAAGCATCGGTCACATGGCCATGACAGCAGAAGGGATAGGCGATGACTGCACATCTGTCAGGTGCATATTTGTAGTAACAAGGACACCTAGCAGGATAGAGATGCACTACAGGGTAACATTTGAAGGGATATCACTGGCCCAAACATGTTACGTTACATGTAAAATTTGGCCTGGGAAGCTTTTGTGTAACTCTAAGTGTTCTTTGGTTTGAGGGTAATATTACTGGCATGATTATCATGCTCATTGTCCATTGATTATTGGTTCTTATAGCATCTTACCATGATTTTCTGAAGCTAGCAGCACTGTAGAATTTTCTGAACTCTGTACAATGTTGCTGTGTTCTGTGGTCTGGCTGGAATGATGTTGGGTCCTTTCCTCCTAAATACTTTTCCTATCCAGGGGTGTGCCTCCCTGGAGTTGACCACTCCACGTCACCTCCTCTCTTCATTATACATTACATTTTTTCTCACTTCTTTAGCCTTTGGCTGTTCTTGGAAAGCTTGGTTACTGATCACTGCTTGCTATATCACTCCTACACTACAGACGTTTTGCTGGGACTCAAGACATTTAACATTGCTTAGTAACTGTTGGTTAGAGATTGTAAGCTAACACATACATGTATCATAGTCCATTGATTATTTGTACATATACATGTACATGTAGTACCAATAATTCTGTAGGTACATGTATATCTCCTTTGGCAAACCAGAGACCACGTGATAATCGTATTTTCAAGCTGTACATAAAGATTGTTTTTAAGATTTCGCTTACCTTTTTGTGTGTGTGTAATGTTTTACCAATTTTTTTTCTGAGTGTTAGTGACATAGCACCTTCTCTCTCATGGTAACGTTTTTCTTAAATGTCCAGAAGTAGACATACACAAAATAGACAGTAGGCTCATTATATTGTTTCAGCTGAAATAAATTCAATTGAAATTGAGCTTCTTGTATTTGTGATTACTTCTGTTTACTGAGGCGGAAGTATTGTTTTGGGTGAGGCTAGTCTAGGGGAAGTTTGTATGTATATTTCATCACACATAAACCATGGTGTAATACATGTAGCGGAGTACAATCCTCTTTGCCACACAGTCCCAATAAATTCATGAAAATAGTTCCCAGAAGTCTGAAATCTCTTGTCTTTACATTAAGGTTGAGGGAATAATTCATCAAGAATGAATATACCTTTGCAAAAGCATTTGAAGTTTGCAATTGAGACAGTTCTGCAGTAAGGAAAAATAAGAAGACCCATATGCATGGTGCTATTATTTGGCAGCTAAATAGGTAACCATGAAAACCAGGCGAATAGAATCACTGTGAAAGTTTCTCCATTTACAGTATCTTACTCTTCCAGATAGAAAGAAATATATATTGCTTTTATATTTCTGATACATTTCCTTGGTGAATTTTTCCTCTATCTGAAATCCGCCATTTTCATTGCCAATCGATTGCCAATTTCGGGAAAGGCGTGGCAACACTTGGTGTTGAAATCGTCTGGAGCAAAAACGCCCCATAGCGGCGAAAAAATCACTGCAGCAATAAGAGCGGCTTGGTTAACATTCTTTGGTGCAGTCCTCCATTGAACTGCTAGAGGTCGCTCTTGGTCCATGCACTTCACCTTGCAACTTGTAAGACGTAACTTGAAACTTCAGCCTGGTATCCAGTCCTATCTTGGGTTATTCTTCGGGCTCTAGACCAGGAGCCGACTGACTTACCTATTTACTCGGTACCGCGGTTGGAATTTCGCGAACTCCGGGAACCCCGACGCGCACAACTACCAGGGACAAGGCTTCCTCATAACCACTATCTTGTGGTATATTATAATAGCATTGCCTTGTGCTGATGTACCCAAGAACGACATTCTTCTGTTGTCTACACTATGTTCTATTTCTAATCCCCAAGCAGATGTTGGGACGTTAAATCTGTCCGTTTCTGTCCTGGTATATGGAGTTGCAAAGGAACAATACTCTGATTTTGTGACGAAATGAGATACATATGCATATTCTACATTTGTCAGAAATATCGTTTCTCATAACGTTTCCAATGAAGAAACAAACGCAGAATTTAATTTTATCTTTCTTTCTTAAATTGCAACTATATTTTTCTTATGTTCATAATGAACAGTAAGGCATGTCTCCTGCAGCAATTGTCACAGCGTCGGCCCCAAGCGATATCTTTTCTCCCTCGGTGTATCATAATGATTTCAGCGTTTTGCTGGGAGGGGCCGGGGGCGCAGCCGAATGAAAAGACACAGCTTTTGCAACCAAGTATGTCATGAATTTTTCGATGCTCGAGGGAAGAGAAAGACATCTTTATTCGTCTCGCGGTCGTCGGTAGCACGTGCCGTCTGTGTGCAACGTCTTTATTAGTCTGTCATGTCACCGTTATGCAAGTGCCTGCTAAATATTTTTTAAGGTTCGTGTCAAGTACCGGCTATACAGATACAGATACAGATACAGATAGGGTCTATTTATCGGGAAAGAAGCGGAATAACTCAGATCAATATTTGTAACAAGGATTACACATTTTCATTCATTATGTTGACACTACGATTCAGTCACCATACAAGCAAGCACTACCTTAACACACCTTAGACGGCATCAATGCATAGCATCATACAACATTGAATGAAATACAGATAGACTACTACTATTAGAACATCGGAAATCCAAGTGATAGATACACATCCATGATATGGAACAAAAATTTTCTGGTTACATTTTCATGCTGCATCGATCGCTGGCGAAAGGCAGTCATCTCGTATCCTTACCGCGCACGCGCACTTCATTGACAACGCCGCACTTTTTGTGTCACATGTTTATTAAAACATGCGGAGGGAGGTTATGACCTACTGATGGCTACTCTGATAGCGTGTCCTCCCACGTGCTTGTAATTATGATTCTCTTCTATTACGCCGAGCTTGAAATGTCCTACAATAAAGAAATGGGACCTCCATTTAACGTCCTATCTGAGGGACGTCCCTAACCAAAACCATTTCCACCTGAGTGAGAAAAGTCGTGTAAAGTGCCTATCCCAAGGACACATGATTGGTGACGTGGTAGGATTCGAACCCGCCGCCTCTTTGTCCTGAGCCAAACACGCTAACATTTACGCCACACAACCCCACTATAAGCAGGTTGATTAGTCTGACCCAGCATTATCTGAGATTTCTGAAATGTTTGTAATTTCAAACCGTTCTAAATCTTTAGCCCAGGCTCTACCCACCAAAAGGACAAAAGCATGAAAATAGGTTTTAGCTCTCATTCTCCACCACGCATCAAAAACATTCGCACACTGACCAGCTGCTACGTTCAGGAGTCACTGTCTATGGTCGCGTAGTCCTCGTCCGCATCGGTTTCACCGCCTCTGTTGTTGCCGCCATACAAGGAGTTTGGGATGTGAGGCAGCGGGATGAGAACAGGAGGAGTCGAGAAAGGAGAAGCCTCTCTGGATCTCCTGACGCGACATTTTCTCTTCAACACGACAGCCAGAGGTATAAACACCACACCGGCTGCAACCGAACCTACGACTTTAAGAAGGGTTGGTAGGCTGACGTTGTACCATGCCTTGTCAATGTCAGTATCGAGGACGGAAATATGTACAACAGGGGTACTCGGGGTATTGTTCGAGAGTATCACTGGTGTACTGGTGGTGGTGGTGTAGTCAGTCGCCTCAGTGGTTGGTGGTGCGGGGGGATTTGTCACAAAGACAGGCTTTGGAAGTATCTTTGCCGTAGTGACCACAGAGTGTGGCACGTCACATTCAGAAAGATCGACTTTGAATAACGGCATACCGCGCATATTTTCTGGGGAGTGACATTTGAAGCCAGGGGGTCCTTTGAGGAGGCTCAGGTACAACGGGTGCTGATGGTATTCTTTACAGGCCATGACATGGTCTCTACTGGAGAGCTGGCATTTCTCGTTTGCCTGGGTCAGTTTCTGAAGCCAGAACAACCTACAGTCACAGCGCAGAGGGTTCCCTTCGACATATGGCTTATATGTGCTGGTGGCTGAATCGAAGTCGCTCGGGAAAATGCCGAGATTTTCCTCTGAAAAAGTTTCCAAGTTGTTGTTGCCCACTTTGAAGAGAATCAAAGATTTTGCCAATGATTTTCTACCCGACATGTCCACGTAAGTTAGGCGGTTGTACGACAAATCAAGTCGCAGTAAGTCTGGAAAACTGCCCATCGACTCCCACGACAAGTTACTGATGACATTATGAGAAAGATTTAAGAATTGCAGTCTAGCCATCGGCGGAAATTTCTCGATAGCTTGTATCAGGTTATTTTGCAAATGGTACTCAATAACCAGATTCGAGTGGGTCGTTACAGGGATGTGAGTGATATTAAGACCTTCACAGTGTAAGCTGATATAATGAACGTACTTGGAAAACATGTCGCACTCGTAACTCATGCAAAGACCTGACTTTGCAGCGACCAACAAAAGCAGAGCCGTGAGCAGGAATCTATTCATCATTGCAGAGTTTACTTTCCTACTGCGATGTCGGCCATTTTTTCTGGTCTTCTAAACTGTCAATACCCGCTGTTCGGGTGCGACGATTTTAATATGCTTTTGATGAAAAACGTGACAGACTCTAGTCTGTTTGGCCGACTCTCAAAGGCCTGTAGTGGGTGAGTGTTTAGTCCGCTATTTTGTGCCTTAGTCCTGAATAATCCAAAATTGTCTAATAGTATGTTGTACAGATGAAACCGGAGGCGTTCATCGAGGCCCTAGCACTGGGCCAATAGCTCTAGGCAACAGACGGTATATTAACAACTGATCTAGTTGTGTGCCCGAACATCGAGGTTTCTGAAAGGAAACAAGATAGGGGACAATTATTTTCATTAGCCTTCAGTGCTCAATATAGGGTCAATAGGTAGAAACTGAAACGTACACAATTCACGTAAAATGAACCAGATTCCAGAAGGAAGTGACGTAAAAAACCTTTGGTAGGTTTCGTAATGTCTGTCTGTAACTGGGTCACGACGATGTGCATATTCTAGAACGTTCGGAAGCGATCATACACAAAACAGGCAAACTCGTATTATTTCAAGAGAGAAGTGTCTTCTCAAATGGGATGCGGACAATTTTCAGGCTAGAAGAAACAATCGTAAGGCTTTTTGAAAACAAGACATAAAGCGTTTCTTGCATTCGACAATTACAAGTGGGATCACTTAAACATTCTAAATCTACATGTAAGGCACAGAAACATAGATTTAGATTTCATTTTACAAAATATAACTTATGTATTCCAACTCTATGTGCTGCACAGAAGTATGGTTTTTTATTTACTTCGACAAAAAACACATATTGCTGTACCTTACATAGATTTAAGACATATATCACATTTGTATTTCAAATCTATGTCAGGCATACAAGCATAGTTTTAGATTTGATTCCACAAAACATTTAGCGTATTTTAGAGCATATATAGAGAGAATATACTCACCAGTAATGGAAATTCTACGCGTGAGGTGGCTGGATCTTTGAAGTATTTGACCGTGCGAAATTCCTGCTGAATACGTGGAGGTACGGAGAGAAGACTGCGGATGTGCGGAGTAGAACAGCGCCCGACTCATCATGGCCGTGACGTCAACGTGATCTCAATATTCATAAATCTTCACGTGGGGTAAGGGAGTCATTTGCAGGAGCACTAGTATTGTGGTCTGACGGTTTTTCGTATTCTGAGCTAAAACACACGGTTCCCTTTGTTTAACCGGCATGTTATTTTATACTGTAGGCATGCCCGTGATGATGCACGTGTTTTTATTTTTACCGTAGCTGTTTTCGTGGTCAATGTAATATTTCAGATGCACCCCTACATTTATGAGGCAAATTGGAATGGTCGAGAAAAGCCCGTTGTTTTCAATAGCGGGGTGGGGGTGGTTTCCTGATTTCCTTCAGGCAGACCTTGGGGTGGGTCGGCAATTAGAACCAGCCGTGCGCCTCCCTTTTTATGATCAACCTTCCCAGAGTGATAGTAATATTAGGAACATCATGCTCGCAAAGATCGGCACTTTAATGTATTCATTGTACAATGATTTGTCTGGAGTGGAGGAGTGAATTAAGTACGTGAACACACGTACTGGTTCAACTTTTCTCTCACACAATTTCAAGGCAACATCCACATATTGACATTCAAGAACCTTCCCCTAAAAGAGATGTCTCAACCAATGGATAAATAAACAAACCTAGTTTCAAATGCGTGAAGTATTCTCTTGGGTGAAACAATTTCATTGGAGGAATATTTGTAACAATAATTTCAAATTTATCCTTAATTATGTTATTACTATGATTCAGTCATCATACAAGTATGGCTTGAAGACATTAATGAAAAGAATGTTAGGTCACTTATGGTATCAGCAAAAAAGGAGATACAGTTAGACTGAATGAATTGTTACTATATGTACATTCCAAATGACAGATCTAGAGACATAAATGCATGGAAAAAAATTGGGGCTTAAATTTCTCTGATGCAGGCGGTCACTTTTTTGCACGTATTTGACAATTTTGCACTATTCTGTTTACGCAATGATTAGTTAGAACGTAGGTCAAGTAAGATTTTGAACTACTGAGGGCTAATGACAACGAGTCGCTATGATGATTTCTCCTACTTTTCTTCTGTCAAGCCAAGGAATGGGAAGGTAGCACTGTACCTCCGATAGAGAAGTGGTCTTCGAGGAAGACCTAAATTTTAAACCCAACTAAAGCAAGCTACATCTTGGTTGTTAGCCCAAGTTCTATCCACCGTAAGGGCACAGGCATGGAAATACCTTTGAGCTTTCACACCCATTCACATACAAACACACACACACACACACACACACACACACACACACACACACACACACAGAAAGAGGAGGAGGAGGGAGAGAGAGAGAGAGAGAGAGAGAGAGAGAGATAACAAGTGAGAAAAGCAACACCAACGCTGACCAACTCGTACCCTCAGTCGTCGTCTATGGTCGCGTAGGTCTCGCCCGTATCGCTGCTGTTGTTGCCGCCGCCATACAAGGAGTTTGAGATGGGAGGCAGCTGGATGAGAACAGGAGGAGGAGAAGAGGCTTCTCCGGATCTCCTGACGCGACATTTTCTCTTCAACACGACAGCCAGAGGTATAAACACCACAGCGGCTGCAACGGAACCTACGACTTTAAGAAGGGTTGGTAGGCTGACGTTGTACCACGGCTTGTCAGTATCGAGGACGTAAACATGTACGTGGATACGGGTTTTCTTCGAGAGTGTCACTGCGTGGGTGGTGTGGTCGGTGGTTGGTGGGGCTGCCGCAAAGACAGACTTTGGAAGTATCTTTGCCGTAGTGACAGAGTGTGGTACGTCACATGCAGAAAGATCGACTTTGAATAACGGCTTACCCCTCACGTTTTCTGGAGAGTGACATGTGAAACCAGAGGGTCCTTTGGTGAGGCTCAGGTACAACGGGTGATGTCGGTATGCTGTGTCACAGGGCATGTTATGGTGTGTGCTGCCGGTACCGCATTTCATACTTGCCTGGGTCAGTTTTTGCAGCCAGAACAATCTACAGTCACAGCGCAGCGGGTTTCCCTCGACATATGGCTTATATGTGCCGTCGGCTGAATCGACGCCCGGTCTCGAAAAAATGCCGAGATTTTCCTCTGAAAAGGTTTCCAAGTTGTTGTAGCTCACTTTGAAGAGAATCAGTGATGTTCTAGCCGACATGTCCACGTAAGTTAGGCGGTTGTACGATAAATCAAGTCGCAGTAAGTTTGGAAAATTGCCCATCGACTCCCACGACAAGTTACTGATGACATTATGAGAAAGATTTAATAATTGCAGGCTGACCATCGGCGGAAATTCCTCGATAGCTTGTATTAGATTATTTTGCAAATGGTATTCCATAACCGGATTCGAACGGGCCATTACAGGGAATTGAGTGATGTTAAGACCTTCACAGTGTAAGCTGTCATAATGAATGAACCTTGGTATTGGTAACAATTTGCATGTGTAAGTCTTGCAAAGACCTGACTTTGCAGAGACCAACAACATCAGAGCCGTGAGCAGGAATCTATTCATGATAGCAGAGTTTACTTTCCTACTGCGATGTCAAATCTTTCTGGTTTCCTAAACTGCCAATACCTGACGTTCTGGTTCTAGCGGGCGCCCTCTATATCTTGGGCTTAATTCTTGGCCGACCCCCAAAGGCCTGTAGTGGAAAAGACAAGTGTTTTAGCCCGCAATTTCCAGCAGTGCCTTATTTGTAATCAATACGTGAGGACCTGGGAGTCAGGCACGCTAGAAGGTAGGCGCGTACATTGACGACTGATTTAGTTTCATGCCCGAACAACGATGTTTCTGAAAGGAAACAAGATAGGGAACAATCATTTCCTTGTTGCAGCTCGTTCGTAAATGTATCTTGTCACATTAAAACTTCATTGTCGGCCGATAGTCAGAATCTGAAGCGCATACAATTCCCATAAAATGAAGCAGTTTCCAGAAGGATGTGACAAGGTGAAAGGAAACAAAGATAGGGCACAATGATTTTCTTGTTCCAGCTCGTACGTAAATGTATCCCGTACGTAAATATCAGAAACTGAAGCGCATACAATTCACGTAAAATGAGGAAGGAAGTGACAAGGCCGTTACATTTTTTAATGTCTGTCTGAACTTGGTTCACGATGATGTTCATATTCTAGACGTTTAGGAAGGAAATGGTTGATTGATTGATTGATTGTCTTCTTAAATGAGATGCAGACTAAACATCAGCATTACCAGATTAAAAGAAATCATCATCGTAAGGCTTTTTGAAAACACGACATAAAGCTAGAGTTCCGTTCATTGCACAACTGAAAGGATCACTGATATATAGTTTAAATCGTCGTTTTAGGTTCAATTCTACAAGATATCTAACGTTTTCCCGGAGCATAGAGATATACTCACCACTTAAAGAGATTCTAGTTGTGATCTGCTCGGGTCCTCGCCCGTGCGAAATACGTGCTGAATGTTCGGATGTACGGACAGAAGACTGCTGCTGGGGACGGTTCGGAACAGCGTCCGACTCATCATGGCCGTGACGTCAATGTGATGGTCTCAATATTCACACTGAGGATGACCTTTCCTAGTAATCTTCACATGAGGCGAGCGAGTCTCTCCAAATTGGAAAACTTGAAATGGGTGTTTGACAAGCGGGAGTAACTATAACCTTTGATATAAAATAAGGAGCCCCATAGCGCCAGCAAAGCGGATAGCTATTGAGTATCTGCTTTTTTTGCGTTCAATTTTTCTTATAAATTTCGTCTTTTTTTGCGTGCGTGCGTTTAATTTTGGCATTATTGGGGACTTAATTACACAGAACGACTTGTTACAATGCAGCAGCAGTTATCATCTGAGTACTGAATATACGCGGTGTGTTTAATAAAAGGTTTCATTAAATTTCTACACTAATCAACCGTAGACATAATTAATGAAAAACGGCATAAATATTGAATATGAAACGAGAAAAAAAATCAATCAATGAAAGACAATTTCAAAGTTTCGTCACGTTTTATTTTGTTCACGAGAAATGAGTCTACAATAACTTTTGATGATCAACCTTCCCATAGCAGGGGGGAGGGGGCATCCTGCTCGCAAAGATCAACACTTAAATGTATTCATTGTACAATGATTTGTCTGGAGTTGAGGAGTGAAGTACGTGAACACACGTCCTGTTGTTTGTTCCTGTCACACGAGACAGCGTCCACAAATTAACATTCAAACCTTCCAAGAAAACGAGATGTCTCAAACGTGAGTTTCAGATTTTTGACTAAGTATTCTCTTGGGTGAAGCATTTTCACTAAAGAAATGTTTGTACCAAACATTGCAAATTATCGTTAATTATGATGGTACTATGATCCAGTCACCTTACAATAAAGCATGGCCTTAAACAAATAGACGACCAAAATTATGGCATCGACATAAAAAGAAATACAGGTAGACTTTGTAACTGAGTGCATTACAGTAATACTACATGTACTTATAGAGCATTGGAAATGAGAGATTTAGAAGGATACTAGTAACGTTACATGCACATCCATTAAAATTTTCTGCTGATAGTTCTCATCTGTATGGCTCGTGAAAATGCGTTCCGTCACGTACTCGCTATGACGATTTCCTCCTACTTTTCTTCTATCATGAAAACTTTCTGGTTCAATTTTTGTGCTACATCTGTTGCCAGAGACCGTCATGTCTCTTGTTTGTCCTGACCGCGCACGTTGATGGCAATGCCGCAATTTTCTGCAGGTTTAGTTAAAACATATGTCGATGGAGATTATGAACTACTGATGGCTGATGTTCTCCGACGTATTCTGTTTGATGACTGTTCCTACTTTTCTTCTATCACGCCGATATTGACTAAAATTGAGAAGGTGACACTATATCCTACAATGGAGAAGCGGTCTTGGAAAATGAATTCATTTTTTTGACCATTCTAAACCAAGCTACTTCTTGCTTATTAACCCAAGTTCTATCCTTCAAGAGAGAGGGGGCAGAAAGACAAAGAGGAAGAGAGAGGGAGAGAGGAAGAGAGAGGGACCGAGAGAAAGAGGGGGACAGAAAGAGAGAAAGTAATAAAGGGGCAGAGAGAGAGAGAGAGAGAGAGAGAGAGAGAGAGAGAGCACCACCAACACTCGCACACCGACCAACTCACACCCTCAGTCGTCATACTGGTATATGTTCCCCTAGTTCTGGTCTGTGTCGCCGCTGTTGTTCCCGCCCTGCAGCGAGTTTTGGATCGGAGGGAGCGGGATGAGAACAGGAGGAGGAGGAGAGGCCTCTCCGGATCTCCTGCTGACGCGACATTTTCTCTTCAACACGACAGCCAGAGGTATAAACACCACACCGGCTGCAACCGAACCTAAGACTTTAAGAAGGGTTGGTAGGCTGACGTTGTACCATGCCTTGTCAATGTCAGTATCGAGGACGTAAACATGTACAACAGGGATACTCGGGGTATTGTTCGAGAGTATCACTGGTGTACTGGTGGTGGTGTAGTCAGTCACCTCAGTGGTTGGTGGTGCGGGGGGATTTGTCACAAAGACAGGCTTTGAAAGTATCTTTGCTGTAGTGACCACAGAGTGCGGCACGTCACCGTGGGCACGTCACATTTAGAAAGATCGACTTTGAATAACGGCATACCGCGCATGTTTTCTGGGGAGTGACATTTGAAGCCAGGGGGTCCTTTGAGGAGGCTCAGGTACAACGGGTGCTGATGGTATTCTTTACAGGCCATGACATGGTCTCTACTGGAGAGCTGGCATTTCTCGTTTGCCTGGGTCAGTTTTTGCAGCCAGAACAACCTACAGTCACAGCGCAGAGGGTTTCCCTCGACATATGGCTTATATGTGCTGGTGGCTGAATCGAAGTCGCTCGGGAAAATGCCGAGATTTTCCTCTGAAAAAGTTTCCAAGTTGTTGTTGCTCACTTTGAAGAGAATCAAAGTCTTTGCAAGTGACTTTCTAGCCGACATGTCCACGTAAGTTAGGCGGTTGTACGATAAATCAAGTCGCAGTAAGTCTGGAAAACTGCCCATCGACTCCCACGACAAGTTACTGATGACATTATGAGAAAGATTTAAGAATTGCAGTGTGGCCATCGGCGGAAATTTCTCGATAGCTTGTATCAGGTTATTTTGCAAATGGTATTCAATAACTAGATTCGAGTGGGTCGTTACAGGGATGTGAGTGATATTAAGACCTTCACAGTGTAAGCTGATGTAATGAACGTACTTGGAAAAGATGACGCACTCGTAACTCATGCAAAGACCTGACTTTGCAGCGACAAACAAGAGCAGAGCCGTGATCAGGAATCTATTCATGACAGCAGAGTTACTTTCCTTCTGCGATGGCGGCCAATTTTTCTGGTCAACACCTGATGTTCTGGTGCGATGGTTTCAAAATACTTCTTTTTTCCCCCAGCTTCTACCACCACTAGATCAGATACAGAGCCTGTCTTTTCACTGTCAGATACAAGCGTTTCAACAACGGTGGGTTAGTCCTAGCGGGCGCCCTCTATATTTTGGGCTGGATTCTGATAGACAAAAGTGTGTTTGGCTGACCCTCAATGGCCTGTAGTGTCTTAGTCCACCAATTCCAAAGTTAACGGTGCCCTAGTTGTCAGAATTGCCTAACAGTATGTTGTACAGATGCGTATATCGAGGACCTGGGAGTCGGACACTCTAGCAGACAGACGGTACATTGACGACTAATTTAGTTTTAAGCCCGAATATTTCTGAAAGGAAACAACAAGACAGGGGACAGTCATTTCATTGTTCTAGCTCGTACTTCAATATATTTCATCACACTAAAACCGTACTTTCAGTCGGAAGCAACTGAAACGCATACAATTTACATGAAAAAAGAAAATACAAAAAGAAAGACAAGAAAGTGACGGAGTTGAGTGGACCGTCTGGTATGTATGGTCCTATATGATGTCTTTGGTAGGATCAATATCATGGTAAAGATGAAGCTTAAGTAACCATGCACCAAATTTACTATTGGGATTTGGGAGAGACCTGTCCTTGAGATGCGGACTTAACATTATTCTTGAAGAATCATCGTAAGACTTTTTGAAAACACGACAAAAAGCATTTTGTGCAATCGACAATTGCAAGAATGGTTGATATATTACGGTCTAAAACCATGTAAGGCACAGAAGCATTGTTTTAGATTTAAGTCTACAAAATACAGTATATTTTTAAAATAGCTAACGTCTTTCCGGAGGATAGATATAGACATATACTCACCACTTATAGTCTTGTCTCGTAATGATCTGTTTGGATCTTCTCCTGTGCGAAATTCCTGCTGAATACGTGGAGGTACGGAGAGAAGACTAGTGACGTGCAGAATAGAACAGCGTCCGACTCATCATGGCCGTGACGTCAACGTCACCTCAATATTCATACAGGATGGCCTTTCCCTGAAATCTTTTCATGGGGTGAGGCTCACAAATGATATCGCGACTATTTATTTTGACTATATTGTAAATCCTGCAAAGAAGCTGCAAAATGAGAAAAAATGTGCCATAAATTGGGAAAAAAATGCAATGAAAACAGGTAACGTTAATATGTTTTCCCATCGAAATTAGTTCATGTATCAGTACAACTAGACTGAAAAATGCGCCACCATACGGCTGAAGTTATGATAGCAGTAAAACATGCATCGTGTTGGGGAAAAATAATTTCGATCGCCAGGGATTATATTTTCATAAGGCGAGAAAATTGGGATATGAGGGTCAACTTAAAGGTTTAAAACGTGTTGACTGGATGGACGAAGGTGTTTTAAGCTCCATGACTGAACACATTGCAGCCATCATATCGTTTCGACACTGTCGTTTCATTAATCGTTTTTAATGATTTTTATTAATGAAATTGTGTTAATAATTAGATTAGCAGCTTCTTCAAGTAGTTACCCGCCATTTTGACCACCTGTGTAGGAACACGTTTGGCATGGTCCGAGCAGAATGGCGCTTTGTAGAACGGGAACCCTCTGAGATGTAATTTTTTTTGCAACTTTTCATGTAGTTTTTCGAGTTTTTGTCGGTAGAATGTCTTTCTAAACTGCGCAGTAGAACGATGGGACGTCTTTGAGATAGATTTATTGCCGTTCTCGTGGTGTTTTGAGGAGAAACTGCGGATTTCCTGACCTGGTGAATTTTGTACAAGAGAACAAAATGGAGAGATAGTTGGTGAGAACTGCGTGGGTTGGAGACGCGCACGACTTCACTTTTTGTACAGGTAGACCACAAATTGTCTGCCATTATTTCATAGCAACTAGTTCGGACATGCCATATTCAACAAGTTATATCCGTAAGAAATGGTGTAGTTCTGTAACATCCAATCCGAACAATTCAGACAGTTTCTTTATTTGAGTCAATTTCGCCGCGTTTTCTTGAATATTTTGCATTTGTAGTGTATTGAATGTATGTCTCATTTATCAATAGATAACTTTTATAGTTCATATTTGTAAAACAAATACGCTGCTATAAACTATTCTCTATATGAACGTAGTTCAAAAACACTTTTGGAATGTGCACGTGTGCATGTACCTTCAGTTCAAGTGGTTTATTTTTTAGTAATTGTTATCTAGGTTTTACCAGGTACAGTTTTTGTCGAGGTGTTGTCGAGGTCAATTCTTAAGAATTGTTATTAAACATAAACTTGAATCATAGCTCTTTTGGAATGGCATAACTTGCCTAGACAACAGAAGATCAAATGTAGTTCTTTTATTTGTTCAGTGTTTTGTGTACTTAGGATCAGCTAACTGTTTCTGTGTGTAACTTACAAGGTTGTATAGTTAGGTGGCTGCAGACTGATTCTGTAGTGAAGACTCCTGTCTAAAGCTGACAAGAGAAGATTGGACTAGACCATACCAGACCAGACCTGTTGATTTGAAGACACCAGATATCAGGTGAGAAAAATCTGATTCCTGTATTTTACTTACCATTTACTTGGTGTTATTTGAGACAAGTGTGTAACTTCTTATGTCTGTATAGTTAGGTGGCTGCTGACTGATGCAGTAGTGAGATCTAGTGAGGACTCCTGTCTGAAGCTGGCAAGAGAGTCTTGGACCAGACCAGACCTGGTGATTTGCAACCCCAGATGAATATCAGGTGAAATCTGAATATTCTGTATTTTACCTACAATTTAAATGGTGTCATTTGAGACAAGTGTGTGACTTATAATGTTGTATAGTTAGGTGGCTGCTGACTGATGCAGTAGTGAAGACTCAGACATGACAAGGAAAGATATGACCAGACCAGACCTGGTGATGTAAACAGTTGTGATGGCTGAGGCACGGACACAAGAGTATCAGGCAGGTGAGAAAATGTGTCTTCATTTTACCTACCAATACTCTGTGTTATTTGAAGAATGTTGTTAGGTGGCTGCTGATAGTAGTGATGATTCTTGTCTGAACCAGACAACACCAGATTGGACCAGACCAGACCTGGCGATTTGAAGACGGCTGAGGAATACACGTCGAGAAAATCTGAATACTGTAATAACCCTATCAGAATTACATGGTGTTATAAGAGACAAGTGTGTAACTTACTTGTACAATGTTGCATAGTTAGGTGACTGCTGACTGACTGACTGATGGTGACTCCTGTCTGAACCTGACCAGAGAAGATTGGACCAGACCTGGTGATCTGAAGACACAAGAGACGTATCAGGTGAGAAATCTTATTTCTGTATTTTACCTTGTGACCATTTACTTGGTATTATTTGAGACAAGTGTGTAACATCTAATGTCTGTATAGTTAGGTGGCTGCTGACTGATGCAGTAGTGAGGACTCTCATCTGAACCTGACAAGAGAAGATTGGACCAGACCAGACCTGGTGATTTGAAGACTCCTGAGGAATATCAGGTGAGAAATATCTGAATTCTGTATTTCACCTACCATTTACTTGGTGTTATTTTAGACAAGTGCGTAACTCATAATGCTGTATAGTTAGGTGGCTGCTGACTGATGATGACTCCTGCTGTCTGAACCTGACAAGAGAAGACTGGACTACACCAGACCTGTTTTGAAGACCCCAGAAGAATATTAGGTGAGAAAAATCTGATTTCTGTATTTTACCTACCATTTACTTGGTGTTATTTGAGACAAGTGTGTAACTTCTAATGTCTGTATAGTTAGGTGTCTGCTGACTGATGCAGTAGTGATGACTCTTGTCTAAAGCTGACAAGAGAAGATTGGACCAGACCAGACCTGGTGATTCTGATGATCTGAAGATTCCAAAGGAATATCAGGTGAGAAAAATCTAAATTCTGCAATTTACTTAACATTTACCTGGTGTGTTTTTGAGCAAATATGTAACATATAATGTTGATAATTAGCATAGGTGGCTGCTGACTGATGGTGACTCCTGTCTGAACCTGACAAGAGAAGATTGAACCAGACTGGACCTGTTTTGAAGACCCAAGATGAATATCAGGTGAGAAAGAGCTAAAATCTGCATTTTATCTACTATTTACTTAAATGATATTATGTGAGACAAGTATGTAACATATAATGTTGTATAGTTAGGTGACAGCTGACTGATGGTGACTCCTGTCTGAACCTGACAAGAGAATATTGGACCAGACCAGACCTGGTGATTTGAAGATCCAAGAGCAAGATGACAGTATCAACAGGTGAGATGATGCTTTACAAAATTCATATGGTTCTACTCAGTTACACTCTGCAACTGTCTTCACTTAAGTTTTGCACTTCACAGAAAAAATCCTTTAACAGTGAATTCAGTGTTTTTTGCATCACACTAATCATCATTTCATATTGTTTAAAAGGTGTGTCCTGAGGGTCAGCTGTCCTGAGAGACATGTGATAATGGGTGACTCCTGTCCAGACCAGACCAGACCAGACCAGACCAGACCAGACAGATTCAGCAAGTTGACTTCAAGACAGTGTGAAGAATCTGACAGTGTACAGGTGAGACAATGGTTCACAACTTGGATGAATTTTTGCTTTCTTCATGGATCATGTGAAGAATTCTGAGGCCTACTTAATAACATGTTTAGAAACAACTTTCTATAGTCTAACACTCTCTATATCTAAATTTCTCTGATGCAGGCGGTCACTTTTTTGCACGTATTTGACAATTTTGCACTATTCTGTTTACGCAATGATTAGTTAGAACGTACGTCTAAAAGTAAGATTTTGAACTACTGAGGGCTAATGACAACGAGTCGCTATGATGATTTCTCCTACTTTTCTTCTGTCGAGCCAAGGAATGGGAAGGTAGCACTGTACCTCCTATAGAGAAGTGGTCTTCGAGGAAGACCTAAATTTTAAACCCAACTAAAGCAAGCTACATCT